CCAATAAAAGAGTATTGGCTTGTTTCCGTGACAGGGGGGAGCACACCTTTGACTGCTCAACTGAAAAGTTTGGTCTTTCCTTTTTTTTCTGCGGGCTGGTGAGGCGGGTAGGATAAGGATTACTGTGCTGTAAGGTGGCTGTAGTCTCTTAACCCGTTTCAAAGCCTTATGAAACACTGATGTGACGTATTAATGGAAACCTGCATATAGGCTACTGTACAGTAATAAATGTATATGTTATCAGGCATTAATTGCATTAACATTAACCTGGTAATTAAATATGCAAAATATTCAACAGCGTTAGATCAATTTTACATTTCCCTCATTTAGGAAATTTGTAATATTCATTTTATACATATATATAAATATATATATATATATATAGGCCTATATATACCACCAAGCCCCTACGCCCCCTCCCACAAAAAAAATCGAGCGCACTTAGTAATAAGTAACATAGTAACTAAACATGTCAAAACTACTTAATATAACAACATGTAATTAATCTGACCTCACAATATAGGCCTATTAACATAATTCATAATTCCGTATTAGCTTGTTTATTTAGTTAGACCCTCCTACTGAAAACAGGTTCACCTTAAAGTTCAGCCAATGAGCAGCACGAATCAGTTATCACAACCATTCAGGCAGCCGTTATGCGAACTTCTGAGCAAACTTCATACAAGTTCACGATCGGAACATTTCAAGCTGATAAGTGCACACATAAGCATATAGATATATTTTCAAAGGATCATGAATATTCATCGGTACAAGTCCTACCTTTGAGTCTCCTATAAACGTAAACGCCTGCGTGCGGATCTTTATCTCCATACTCTTAGTCCCCTCTTTACTTCCAGCAGACAAGTTTTATTCTTTTTATATAACACCTGCAACGCTTTATTTGCTTTGATTGCTATTTTCCCTCCTTTATCAATCTAGTTCAGTGGAGCAGAGGTTGCTCTCCTTTTTTGTTGTCGTCTAAACCGTTTAGTTTTGGATGATCGGTCAAAGGTTGTGAAAAGCAGCGGGGAGAGCAGGACGCCCAGCCGAGGAGGGAACGCAGGAGGCCGGACAGATCTAGTGGGCTGCATCGACAAAACGGACCATTAGACAGGGAAAAGCCATGGCTCACAGCTCTGGTCGATCAGGTAAGCGCAGGGCTCTCTTTTCGTCTCGCCAAACAGTGTGAGTGTTTATTTTCTAGCGGTAGGGGTGAGTCGCCGTCAGCTCAGGTAAGAACATACAGTAGATGTACTTTACAAATGCAAACTACTTGACCAGCGACTAACCTTTATTGACCGCCCTATAATGTTGCAAGCGCAGTCTGCTCTTACGGTAGTTCTTTGCATGCTGAAAAGTCTGACAGATTTGCCTTGTCAATCTGTACATTTAAAGCGGCAACTGATTCACGCTGACATTATGTTATTATGCGATTATTAGCTGGGCCCGGGTGTGGACATAACTGCTCACTGTAATCCATATTACTGCGGTATCTCCCATTTCATCATTCAAATGTTAATTTCCCCCAAACATCAGCCTTTTTTGCGATCGCATAGTTTTATGGCAATATTAACATAATATAAATTAATATTTCAAATGTTGTTATTATTATTACTAGTAGGCTACTGTCGTTGTTGTTATTCATATTAGCCTACTGTTGTTGTCGTTGTTTATGCTGTTCGTTTAACTGAAAACATAGATCATATGCTAATTCACCTTTCTATTTTGGGTGTAAATGTGAAGATCAATATAACACTTGTAATAATCTAATTAATTATGGTGAAATTAAAAGCAAGTACAAAATCAATCTCTGATGCTGTGGACAGAACTCAATTGATGGTCCATCTGTTCACTCTATAGACATCATGAATGGGTAATCTAAAGACGCAGCTGATATCATGACTGGCGATGTGAATGCAGTTTTGTTGTTTTGGTTACAGCGGTCAGATTTTTGGAAACTTCATATTTTGGTTTATTGAAGTATTGTATTTTAAAACATCTCAAAAGTAATTAATATTTTAGGCATAAAAATGTTTTTTAGGTATTGTGCAAAACAAAATTATTATCAATAATAATATTAATAGGCCTAATGCCAGTGCTATTTGCAAAATTCTTCCATCAATTTAATTTCTGTGATAATAATCTAAACTTGACCAGAGATTGTTTAAACTCCTCAGTTTTAACTTTTTTTCCCCCAAAGAAAAACAGTTGGCCACACTGGGCAAAAAAACGACTTCTCTATTTTTTTCAGTGTTTGTGATAACTCAATACCTCTCGAAAAACACAACTAAAAACGCTGTTTTTAAACAATCCGACGACTCAGAATTGCAGTAAGCGTATCAGACTTCTTAAAATTCCGTTATGGGTTACTCCTGCTGTAAAAGCTAAGGATAGGCTACTTGCATTCAGCTATAGCACACTGACGTGGACAGCAGGTCTAGTGGAGTGGAAAGTATCGATTGGTGACGTTGAGAATATTACAGTGAATGAGATGAAACATATGGGCTTCTTAAAAGTGGAAATAGAAATATTGGATAGTGGAATAGAAGTGATTTTCTGCGTTCTCATTGGACGTTCATCGCTGTTCACTTTGACTAACAAACCTATGTGGCGTAGCAGAGGCTGTCAAAAGAGATGCACTTTACCACTGCACCTTCTCTCTTTCTCTGTCTGTCTCTCTCTTTGACACGTTCGATCACTCTCTCCCAATCGTTTTCTTAAGAGTAAAACCTCCTGGGTTGGTCTAAAGAAAAGAATACAAAATGTAAAACGTGTTTTCAAACAAACCAGACCTTTAAAAAATATTTTGCATGTTTCCTGTTTATTTAAAATGGCACGTTTGCAATTTATTACACCTTTTCCATTGCCCAGCTGTGACAGGACGCTAATATTATCTAGAAGAAAAAAAACTTATAATAAAAACGTTGAGGAGCCACATGAAATATAATTCTATATTGTAGCACAGCACCAGTCTCAGTATCCCGCCTTTAGTATTCAATGGCCGCTATGATCAGTTGCAATTAGTTTTCCTATCATTTAACAGAGGAAGTAACTAATATAGTAAAGGGGAGTGGAGGCAAAAAGCTGGGGTCTTGCGGGGAAATAAAAGCAGCTTTAGGGGAAATGTGTAGTCGAGTGTGAAATTACAGCCCATGGTGTTACATATTGTACCAGAAGCTCCCTCCAAAAATACTAACAAAAAGAAGAATCGTCCCCAAATTTAGCCGGGAGGCATAACATAACATAGCCTCCTGTTCTTTTAGCCGAACGTACAACGGTCACAGTGCGAACACTTCATAAATGTGTAAGAGCCGTCTTCAGTCAAGCCAAAGCCTGCACTTTTTACTAATTGCTACAAGCATTTTTGTTTTTAAACACAGCATTTAGGGTGCTTAAATTCAGATCTGTGCGTACGTGCCATTTTACTAAAATAAAGAAAACAGTAAAAACAATAATAATGGCAACAACAATAACAGTGTGATTATAATTGAGTGCGATACGTAAAATCAGTGCATACGATCGTATTTGAATTTTAACAGTTAAAATAATAATAATAATAATAATACTTTTTTTCAGAAAAATTATGTAATTTAAGAAGATATGACGCTGACTTTATCACATGCTTTAGAAGTGATAAAAAGTAAACATGATCACAGTATGTTCCAGGGTCTAAAAACTTATTCTGAAATACAGTTTTTTTTTTTTTGAGACAAGTATATAAACATTTTATATCGATTTATTAGAAATGTAGCCTTGATAGATAGATAGATAGATAGATAGTATTGTTTTAAAATAAAAAAGCGAAAAGATAAGAGTTTAAAATAAAAAAAATAGCGACAAGTGAAGCACATGGGTACATTCAGTGATAAACTAGCATAAACAAACTGACAAAACCACGAGTCAACGATGAACATCCATCTCAGTTTTACAAAACTTTTTTCTTGTACATCTGAGTAAATATAAACAAACAAATAAATAAATAAATAAAAGAAGAAGAAAAAGAAATAAAAACTAAAACTCACTATCAAACATTAAGTTCATCACTTTGTCATCAACAATCAAGAGTTTTGTTGGAGAGCCATAAAACAACTTCAAGAGCCTGCCTCAGTCAAATAAAGCAAACTAAGCAGCGCCATCTACAGAAATACCTACAATATAGCAGCCCAAACAGCAGGGTAAAGACACAATCCTTTCACTAACATTTGACAGGCCAGCGAACTTAGAAGTAGTGTTGTTATAGTATCAAAACCAATGATAATACAGTAATCCGCGATTGTCATATAGTTGTAAGATGCAGCAAATATTGTCAGAAATTGAGAGTGTATATTAAGGCCAATTTATATCTGTACACTGCGCATATTTATGCTTTATAGTATTGTTTACATTTTCCGTATTTCCTGGTTTAGAAAAGAAATGCATTAGCGTAGGCCTATGTCCTGTTTTAGAAAATAAATGCCACAATATTGCTTAACAATTTAATAATATTTCACGCCAATACATTATAATCGATGTTCGGGAAAAAATGTGAAAACACCCGACATGACCTATAAGTGAAAGAAAACAGTAGTAATAGAAGACATTATTGTAAAGATTAAGACCTTCCTTCATCTTCAACTAGTCTCATTATGCCCATCAGCAACACACACACACACACAACATAAATTAATTAATTAATTTTAAAAAATTCAGTCTACGTTTAGGTCACCAATAATGATTCAAACATGATTCATGTAGTTTGACAACATACAGTTTAGAAATACCACGATGCCTGGCCGCTGCTGGTACCGCTTCCTTTCCACTTGTCTTTTAATTTCCTCGATTTTTTAAAACCCATCTCTCCTCATTTCCCTGTTTGCATCCCTCCCCTTCCGAAGTGTCAGATGAAGAGACCTCCTCATTTGGTGCTCCAGCTTTTTGCGTTGGCGAATCACAAAGTGTTGGAATCTATTGCCTTTGTCTGACATGTCATCCATCTCTATGCGAGGGGGGATCTGGGAAGGAGGGGGGCGGTGGACTGCAGCTTTTAGAAACAGACACACTGAGAAGAGGGGTTTCAGTCTCAGCCTAAAGCTTCTAAGAGGCACATCCCATTCTTGAAGAGAGGGGGACCAAGAGACACTCGCCGTGTCCATGTTTTTTCCTGTCATCCCCGCTCGAATCTGACTGTACCCCTCAGACTTTACCAGAAACGCTTCACCATATCGAGGAATTTACACTGCAGTTTCATCAGAGGACACTGGAGGAGACGCAACCACTAATGCTTGCGTTCCCTTAAATATGTAGCTAATAAATATTAACTGAACGACTGATTACGCTAACGTTCCTGCGTAAAATATTTTTTTTGAGAGACCAGTGCAGGACATGATCTGCACCTGACCAGCCTCGTGTCTTCGCTGAATGGACTGATCAGCACGAGATAAAGTTCGTCGCGCGCTGAAGAACTTCTGTTCACTGGCATCGGAAGCACTAAGCTTTGAACGGATAGCGATCTTTATTAATTCCAATTAAAGCTACATTATCAAGGCGAGACGGCGACCTCAGTCGATTATCTTTCCTTCCTTTGCTATCCCATGGATATTCACTGCAAAGCAGACCCCTTCTCGGCGATGCACCGTGAGTAAAATATAAGTTTTTTCCTTAAAAATCTCTACCTTGGTTAGCATAAATAAAGTCTAAATTGTTCATCGTTTCGGTGGAGTTGGCTTTGTAAGACTATAGCCTATAACCTGTGCGCATTAAGCTATTTACTCTTACTAAGTTTTCCAAAGCTTTTACAAGAAATGTATAAATGATTGTTTAAATATTTTATACTTCACGCTCAGTAAAGCGAATACGAAAAGTAGCCTAGTCCCGCGAGAGAAAAAAAAAGCCTACGATCGCTTCTTATATTTAGCGGCCTTTAAATCGTTTGTTCCGACAAAAAGTCGTTCAAAAAAAAAATCGATACAATATTTAGCGTAATTTAAAATAAATTATTCTGCCTTGTATGTAAAACGTAAATGATTCGTGAATATTTCAAACAATGTATTTCTTATTTTTTAAGTTCAGTGCATGTCTGAGAAAAATAACGTACATGTGGGATGGAAAGAGATGTAGTTACAGCAAGAATATACATATAAATTAAAATCGCCAGAAATGTCTAACATGTGCAAACGCAGTAATACCAGATGAATTGCAAAAGATTAAATTATTTTACAAAAAAAAAACGGCCTTTAAAAACTCCGCATTTTAAAGCGAGAAATTTCTAATGAAAATAAATGTGGTCTACATGTTGAAAATCAGAGAGAAAATGCTTGCTGTTTGGCATAATAATAATGATTTAAATAAGTTGTTTGTGCGATATTTGTTGAAAACACCGTATTGTAACAAGATGATGGAAGGCCTGGGTCTAATTTAAATAATTAATTCTTAATTATTTTGCAGTAGCCTACTCCATGGTTGTAATATGAGTTATCAAAGCTCTTTTTAATTATTTACAATAATTGTGCAAGGAAAATTAAACAGGTTGAAACATAATCTATGCGACATGTGTTTGGCTGCAATGGAATCGTAGAGGAAAATACTACCTAACTGCAGCGGGTCCTATGGGTAGAATAGCACATAACGTTTGCCATTGTTTACAATCATGAGTGCGTATAAAAAGATGATTATGTGTGGAATAAAATAATAAGAATAAGAATAATAAGAATAAGAATAATTATTATTATCAGTACAGCAATTGAATAATATTACAATAGCAGTTATTTATCATGCTATATTGTGCTGACAAGATATATCTATAAACACAAAGAAATAAATTAACTAACTATAAATTAAAAACTACTGTTCAACGTGCAAAATTAATTTGTTTTAACTGAATGAGAAAAACATTAACTGCCGCCCCATGAACATTTTGATAATATATATATTAATATATATTAATATTGTCAAAGTACAAAAACAGTACAAATAAAGAACAAGGACGTCAAGGCCTTTTACGGATACATTTTCCATCATGTTTCTTAGCGAAGATATACATTATAGCCTAACTATCTTATTGTTTGTCGTTGTTCACATGGGCACATACAGGTAGTGTGTGTGTGTGTGTGTGCGTGCGCGCTTCCATGCGGAGAGTGTTAAAAGGGAGAAAGAGAGAGAGAGAGAGAGGGTGAGGGGGAAAAGAGAAAATTAAACGCTTCTGTGTGGTAGCCATGTTAACGGCGCAGCCTATCTTCTATATGTATGTAATGTTATGCTTTTTGTTTCTGTGTTATGAACATTTTGATAATATATATATACATTTTAATATTGTCAAAGTACAAAAACAGTACAAATAAAGAACAAGGACGTCAAGGCCTTTTACGGATACATTTTCCATCATGTTTCTTAGCGAAGATATACATTATAGCCTAACTATCTTATTGTTTGTCGTTGTTCACATGGGCACATACAGGTAGTGTGTGTGTGTGTGTGTGCGTGCGCGCTTCCATGCGGAGAGTGTTAAAAGGGAGAAAGAGAGAGAGAGAGAGAGGGTGAGGGGGAAAAGAGAAAATTAAACGCTTCTGTGTGGTAGCCATGTTAACGGCGCAGCCTATCTTCTATATGTATGTAATGTTATGCTTTTTGTTTCTGTGTTGTTGTATCCCATATAGGGCACGGCGGTGTGAACCAGCTAGGAGGGATGTTTGTGAATGGCAGACCCCTACCTGACGTGGTCAGGCAAAGAATCGTGGAGCTCGCGCACCAAGGAGTCAGACCCTGTGACATCTCAAGACAACTACGGGTCAGCCATGGCTGTGTCAGCAAAATTCTCGGAAGGTACGAAAAAGTACAGATGTAGTAAATTTGTCCAGTTATACCCGTGTAGAAATAACAATATTAATGAAATGTAATTGCTTCATGTAAATAAACCTTTTAAACATTATTGTACTGTTATGTGTCTTAGTAACCTTTTCCCTTTTAGTGAAAGGTCTAATATTAAACATTTCTGACCTTAAATTCATTGTGGAGAAGAAAGGATATGTTTTCTAGGAAACTGTTATAGATTTTTGAATTTTCTGAAATATTTTTCAGCTATCAAAAGGATCTTATAAGGTATTCTGCACTTTAAATGTTCCTTAGAAAATATGAGATATGTGTTGGTGGCATGTATTAATCGTGGGGTGCATGGGACATATATCAGTCGCTAAGGAAGCCGTTTGATAAATGGATGATTACGATTTTAGATCGCAGCATACGAATGTTAATGTTTCAACACGCAAAACCTATTAAAAGTAGGTGTTAAAATAATGATAATAATAATAATAATAATAATAATAGGCCTAATAATAATGCACATTTTCCCGACGCAAGGGTTGGGGGGTTAAAATTTTTTTTTTTTAAATCACACTTTATAATTTGAAACTCAAAAAAATAATTAAATCAACAGATTATATAACTATTTATGGCCCGTATTCATAACGCACTGTTTATAAATATGCTCAATGCCACACGCTAGCAAAAAACAAACAAACAAACAAAAAAACCTACTGACATGTAAGGAATTTTTTAAATAACGAATTATCGTTCATCTTTTTCTAGATACTATGAAACCGGCAGTATTAAACCTGGAGTTATTGGGGGGTCCAAACCGAAAGTGGCGACACCCAAAGTTGTGGATAAAATCGCAGATTACAAGCGGCAGAATCCCACAATGTTCGCCTGGGAGATCAGAGACCGACTCCTGGCCGAGGGCGTTTGTGACAACGACACAGTACCAAGTGTTTCATCTATAAACAGGTAAAGCCGTTTGAAATTCGATTTTCACTTTTGAAATTCCAAATTAATTTGAAAAGCATGATGTCAATGACAGAACAGAACTATTAATTCGGTTCTCTACTGACCTTCAGCAGTGTTATTAAAACAGCGAATCCTAACACTAGCGGCCAAATTATCATCAGCTAATTTGAAAACCCTTCAGAGGCCTTGTAGCCTACAGAAAACTACGTATCGTTTCCAGTTGACGATGCGTATTCAACGGGTGACGTTTTTTGCTTTTTTTTAATTCTTGCTCTCGGGGTGGTCTCAAAATGTGCAATTCAATCCCAAATCTGTCCACAGCCTGCAGAGGATCTTTAGTTGAGGTCGCGAAAATCACATCTGTCTCGATGAAAACCAATCAATACTCTGTAACCAGATCCAGTTGCACTGGGAAATACGCGACAAGACATCACTGCCTTATGCGGAATCTCAGTAGTTCTAAACATATATAGCACGCAAGACAAAAAAAAAAAAAAAAAATTAAGGGTTTTTAAAAGGGGTTGATTTTTGTACAAATATCTTAACATCCTTAAATCAAGATACATTTACAGGGATTAAAGTTTTCCGTCGCTACGATTTTTTAAACGGGTTTGAAAAAAGGCGATGAGTAATTTTTCATATTTTCAACTTATTTTAAGTAATAAAACAATAATGATAATAATAGCCTAATAATAATAATAATAATAATTATTATTATTAAAGAAGAATAGTGTAGTAAAATTATGGAATAATTTGAAATAAGGTGGATGTGTAACTGGGCTTCTACCTCAGCAATTTCAGTGAACTATTAAACTTAACAAGGACTAACAAACAGGTCCTGTAATTCCTATGCTATCATAAATAATGCAAGGGAGATCATAATCAGCCCTTACTTATATGCCTTCCTACATTAAATCAGTCAGGTGAAAATAAAGAGTCCTAACAATTAGTTACCATTCTTTTTCTTATTTCTTATTAAAATACAAAGGCTAGCAAGACTATCCCAAGTGAGATGGAGTCGTGATGGTGGGATGGGGGTGGAAGAGCGGAAGAACAAGGTGAAAAGGCCTACCTGCAAGCAGGAGTAATGAACTTTGGTTAGGAAGCACTGTTCCATAGAGCTGGCCAGCAGCATTACATTTTAATGAGCTGAAGAGAGATCATGGGCCGACCCGCACAAGACATTTCCTAGAAAAAAAAGGGGAAGAGAGAGGCTGAAAAAATTCATTTCATGCACTATGGCTGCTTAAAAAGGGCAATTTGAACAGGTCTCAACACATGTATGCGGTAAATTTTTAATCTGCATTAATGACATGAAAGAAGAGCCAATAAACCTTCGTTTCCAATGTTGTTCAAGTTGTCATCTCAGAGGAGGGCATTGTAAGGACCTCTGTTATTTATAAAATTAATATGTATAATGATGTTACTGGAATTTATTTCGACTGCTATTCTGAATCATACAAAGTTGGGTTTTCTATGCCCAGGCAACACATATTGGATAAAACTACCTGAGCTAATCATTTCAAAACTTGCCTGTATTATTTAATAAAATTGGATTTGCTACAAGTAAACATCAGTGAGGGCTGTGCTTTTAAGTGAACTGGGTTACACTACACTAGAACACTTCTTTAACTTTGAGACTGCTGAAAGCAGGCAAGTACAAGCAAAATGCAAATACAATATTTTAACATTTCCTGTAATTACAACAGAACCTTTAACACAGGCTGTAATTGCCTAGACAAGCTGCAAGCCTTGTGCAATTTCAAACAGGTGTTCTTGTACCCTGTCTAAAAGTATTCCCTCACCAGTGAGCAGACTTCAGAGGCAGGACCCTCATGCACTGAGCGCTTAAGAGGTTGACCTCTGCTCTGTTGACATTAGAAGATGTCCCAGCTTTAAGCACATTTTCTCTGCATGAATTATTAAAGATTACACACTGTCTGGGGTGTTCTCTGTGTCCTCCTCACAGCATGAAGTCACTGGCACACAACCAGTTCTGAGCCCTTCTATCGCCTGAATCCTAAGCATCCTTTCAATAGCATTGATTCATATTTTAATATTTCTACAGGGAATTCTCAGCACCCTGGCAAGTCATTAATTCACACCTTCCAAATAGCTCATTCGATAGCGAGAACATGGATCCAAGCTATTGAATTTGTGTGGCTAACGAAGTTGCAGGGTTAAATCATTGTTTTGGCTGGATGTTAAAGAATTCACAAAATACTTATATGGTGTTTGTCTTGTGTGCTTTTTTTAGCTTGCAAAAAAAAAAAAACCTTTTTGGTATACACACACATATATATATATATATATATAATGAGGAATTCCATATGTGCTGATGCACTTAGAAGGATTAATATATATATATATATATATATTAATCCTTCTAAGTGCATCAGCACATATGGAACGAGGAATTCCTTAGTAATGAAATTTACAGCCATATTATAGTTTATACAAATGTGAAAATGTGTAGCCAACGAGTATAAATGTGTTCCTGGAATAAGGTGACAGCTTCTTCTCTCTGAAGCGTGACCCAGATTAAAGACATCAGATGCTGCAGTGGGCTTTGGTGTAACAATGAGACACTATTGCTTTCCTGTCACATATAATTTATAGCCCTCCATTTGCATCTGTTCTTCTCTGCCTCTAATTCCCAACTTTTTTTATCCCCAAGTCCCAATCAATAGGGGCTCATCCGCACTGGCACCCCTGAATGTTTGTGCTAGAAAAAAAATGCCGGATCTGGGAAGTCAGTATCCAGACTCTACAAGCAATCCTCACTTGCTTCAATGAGGAGGAGCATAGAGGAGAGACTGAGATAGATAAAGAAGGAGAGAGGGAGAGAGAGAGATTATTAAAGCTGAGGCTAGTTCGAGGCAGTGAAGCTCATCATTGAGGTGAATTGATGTGATTTCATGCTTTGTTTGCAAGATCATTCAGACCAAAGTGCAATGAAGACTTTCCCCCATATCACACCTTCGAGGTAGTGGGACTTTATCATATTTCTAAAGATGGGATCCCGTTTGACTGAATCCACTCTCTCCGCGGTAACTCCCACTCAGGCTAGCATGTCTACTCCATGATTGGTCCTAATACACCAAGATTGGTTATTTGTGACAGAATCAGTGCATCTATAGAGGAAGGCCCCAAAACAACACTAGAGTTTTACAAACGCAATGGGTCGCATCAGGCTATGCGAAAGCTTAAAGCTCAAAGCTATGCAAAAAGCTTACCTTAAAATGATCCAGCCAACCAAATGCACCTTCAACTCATCGTGTTCTTTTAACTGCCATTTCGTAGGATAATTCGAACCAAAGTTCAGCAGCCTTTCCATCCATCCTCTGATGGCACAGGAACGCCTCTCACCACAGCGGGACACACTATAGGTGAGACAGCATATATTTTGCATATAAACATAAAAATCGTAATGACATCAATTATGCCAGTGACCTAATGTTAATTCATTCTCTTTTAAGGTGATCTTGAGAGCACTCCATATACGTTAACCTATTCCTGTGCTCTTTCAGTGCCCAGCACAGCCTCCCCACCTGTGTCAAGCGCTTCCAATGACCCCGTGGGGTCCTACTCTATTAATGGCATCCTAGGAATCCCTCGCTCCAACGGCGAAAAGAGAAAACGCGATGATGGTAAGAGACTGGATTTCTCTCCATCGCTTTTATTCCCCTTTCACTCCTTTTCTAGGCCTCTCTACAGCCCCCTGTAATTTCCAATTTGTGTGGGGAGATGAAGATGGCATTTTGATAGCACTGGACAAAGCATTTTGTAAAAGAAAAAAAAAGCGCTCTCAAGTGACTTGTTATATAGTAAAGCAGATTGGACTATTTAATTCAGCCACTTGATACTATGGTGTTTGCATGGCTGTAGCACGTTTTATTTGATGATACAGTAGCTCTGCACAAACAAGAATATGCCTACATGCTATCTTTTGGTCCGAATCATGACAGCATAATGCTTAGGTAGTGCATCAGGGATACGGCTTTATGCTTTTTGTAAGTAATACAGGTCAACGAAATGAAGACAAAGAAATCAGCAACGTAAATACAAGAGATGCATGAGGAAATGGCAAAAAATGTGCTCAGAACAGACTGGAAATGCAGAAAATAATGCAAAAACTGCCTGATGTGCGATTTATAACTGACTTCTAAAGACATATTCTGACATTTTAATTTCTCACAAATTTCTGGCTTTGTATTTTTGCTTTTGAAGAACTGAAATGGGGCTGCCAACCTGCTCATGCCAACATTCTCTCTTCTTTTCTAAATGAGAGGGCACATACCGCCTAAGGCCTAATGGCTGATCGGATCTTCATACAATCGCCTTTTGAATGTTAGTGAATAAACATCCATGTGGCACCGGGCTGAACGGGAATGCAGAAAGTGCTGTACTCAAAGGGAGGGATGTTGAAGTGGTTGGAAATGATCTCTTAAAACATTTATCAAAGCAGGGCTACTTGCTTCTTTTATGTTTCCATCTCTTTAGTTCTCTGGAGTGGCAACCACTTGGATGGGAGGAAAATAGGATATTGTAAGTTCCGTTAGCCCACCTTCTCTTTGCTTGCTTAATCACAAGCCACTCGAGTCTGATCAAGTGCTCTGTGAGGGTGTGTGTGTGTGTGTACGTGTAGGGTTGTGTGTCGAGGGGAGGGGGATGAGACGGAGCGCACTGACGCTTAATGATATCTTTATGGAAAGAGCACTGGATCATATATAAACACTGCAAGAAAGCGACTGTGGCAAATCACATTTGCTACAGCGTGGCATGCTCTTACCGAGACCGTCGTGGTGCTTTTCCTGTCACTGTCATAGACCGTTTGTTCCTAAAAACAGAGAAGGGACATAACATAAGCGAGAGGGGATTACCCAGCCAAACGGCAGTGGCAGTAGTTATTCCTAGTTTGATTAGAACTGACACAACGTGAAGAGTGGATGAAGGGCTTGAGTGTAATTGCATCATAAAACACTAGGCGGGAAAACATGAGTTTACTTGCCCGCGCAATATCAAATTTAATACCGCTTCAGCGAGGATTACCTTTCATTACAACGACTAGAGTGAATATCCCCATTGTTGCCAAAGTGTTTCCCTCCTCTGGAATCACACGACCTTATGCAGGTCTCTCAAGGTGTACCAAGACATTTGTAGGGCATATGTCATGCCGTGTCCCTGATGAAGAGCTCATGGCTGGTAATTTGATACAGTGCCAAATGTCTAAAAAGCTTTGTGTTATTTAAACTTAGCCCTTATTTCACACCGAGACATCAGGGAGGCAGAGCGACAGCCAGTGTATGGTTTCAATTTCATAGCAGCCCAGCAGCCTTGGGCTACCTGAGCCTTATTTGGCTGGGCGCAGCCAATCTTCCCTTCATTAGATGATGACATAACAGAAATATGCTAATCCGATTTTAGGAAGAGCTGCGCAGATGCACTTTGAAACACGTAACATGTGAAACCCGCCAGTTCTGGGGGAAAAAGGTCAGTGTAATGAGTTAGCATTTGATTTAAAAGATATAGGCTTCTGCAGTCTTTATATTTGATGATGCTAGCACCCTTTAAAAAAAAAAGGTCCCCATTACAAGAGTGATATGGAGATAATGTAGTGTGACACGCGTTATGTACACCAGGCCTTTGCAAGAGGAGCTTCAGGGACACAGGTGTCATAAGAGTCATTAATCTGTCATTTTCATGTGTTACTGCAAATTAAAAGTAGTACGTTGCTCGCCGGCTATGGGTGACGTTCGGCGTGTTGTGGACCGTCACAGAGACGGAGAGACGGAGAGGGAGGTAAGGGTTGGGGGGAGCCTCCCAAGATTAGTTCTTTGGTGGCAATAGCAGCCCACAAGTTGAACATAGTGACATTTAAGAGAATTTGCAATTCTGCAGAGAAAAGCTATTAATTCACAAATTAGCACCCCCTTCCTCTATCGTGGATGTGCAAGCTATTGAGGAGACAAAGGAAATAGCCTAAAGGGGAAGAGAGAGACACAGCCCTATCTGTGTAAAGATTGGTTTATATGTCTGCAAGCAGTGATACCAATTATGCCAGCACAGAGAATGCGCCTCAACCTTATTGCTGCCTTCACAGGCCCTTCAATCCATTGCCAGATTTATTTGTGTATCTCATTATGGAAAATAGAATGCCTTTCTTGCCAAATGTATTAATGGCAAAAGAGGGAAATTAAGCCTGTTTGGGATTTCTCATTTGTCAAAGTTAATACTTTGTTACAAAATGACACAAATGAATGAACTGAGTTAATTACTAGTACAGGCAGGAGTTGTGTATTTCCATGCCATTTCGTTCTCACCTGTCCTTGCATCGGCTGATTAGCAGGTTGGTGTGACCCGGCTCTCTTCCATCTGTATAAAACCAAACATAACCTACATAGGGAGTGGGCAGATTGCAATAAATTGTGTGCAAAAACACAGACTGACACTTGAATCAGCTGTGGGAGCATGCGTTCACATGAAAGAAATTAAAGTGGGTTGATTTATAAGGCCTAGCGGCGTATTTATTTGGCGTTAGTGCGATAAAGAGATTATATCCGTGCCATCGAGGTATAAGAACGCAAAAATTTCACTTATAGCTTGTTTGTTCATCTAAAAGTATTGCTTTGAGAGTGAACGACAACACACTTCAAATACCCATGCTAAAATAGTTCGGCCCACAGCGAGAATGCTTTAACCTGTGCTTCCATTTCATGGCTTGTGAGATTCTATTGTGTCAATATGGATTCTACTTTAAAAAAGAATAGAAATGAAATACATCCAAACCAAGAAATGGATTGGCCTCAGTCTAAATCGAATAAGAACATCCCACTGATCTCATCATGATGATGGCCTCTGTTTGAAAGAGAAAGACCAGATTTGAGAAAGGCTGCAGAGCGTAACCGGCAGAGAAGAAGGTGCCGGGCTCCTTATCAAAGGACACAAAAGGTCTATGCCCCCACTCGGCTGATACATCTGCATTCAAGCAGACCCGCCGCCCCAGCCTGGCCGATAGCTCAAACGTGAAAATCTGCAGCACGAAAACATCTAAGGACAGGGTGGTTCGCTCGAAGAGGAATCGTGTCAGAGAAAAGTCAATTATGAACGCTGATGCTGAGAATTAATGGTGCGCCGCATTACACAGATTTTAAAAGGAAAGAGAGCGAGAGTTAGGGAGATACGCATTCATTAATTGCGTTCCAGAACGCTGCGTCACATGAGGCCGATGTGCTAAATGACAGACCGGGTGTGAGTACAGTAAAGAATGTGTGTTATAGGTGAGAGGAGAAACCCATGCTGACAGCGGTAGCCTGAGAAAAGAAAAAAAGGAAGCGCAGCTCCTACTGGCAGTCTGCACACTGCTCAGCAACACTAAATTGAATTAATAAAGCCTTTAAACATGCTGTAACATAACAGGAAATTAACAGCCCCGGTTGTGCTGCCGCTGCTACCTCGCTCTTTCTCTCCCTCCATCTCTCTCTTGTTCTTTCTCCTATTGTCTCGTCTTCTTCTGATTTAGTTATGTGCTATGCAGCCTTGCTGCACCGTAGATTTCATAAATAGAAGTGCCAAACTTCTTTTTCTTTTTGCTTCTCCATATAATTTGTGCACACTCACAAATTCCTAGTTTTTGAGCAAGTATAAAAAGGTTACTTTTTCATTAGATCCAAAAAAATTGTAGAATCAGAATTTTTTTTTATAACATTTTGATGGAACACTCACCATCAGACTTAAAGGGAGAGTTTTGAATTCTATCATCATTTACTCTCATTGTTTTCAAACCTTTGTGATTTTTTTCCCCATACATTGAAAGTCAATAAGGTCCAAAACAACTTTGGACCCCAGTGACTTTCATTGTATGAAAAAGTTTAAACAATTCTTCAAAACATTTTTTAACAGAAGAAAGTCTAGGTTTGGAACAATATGAGGGCGAGTAAGGGATGACAAATGTTTCATTTTTGGGTAAACTACCCATATAAGAGTGGATGTGTGATATCAGGTCAAGGGTCACGGGTCACGAGACCCTCATTTGCTTTTCAAAAAGCTCTCTCATCCAAGCCAGCCTTATCTGATGAGATGAAAGCAGGAAACTCAGCACTGTTCTCTTAAAAGAATGTCACACCTGCCCGGTCATCCCTAAGCACACACTTCCTAAAACCTAATATCACAAATTTAGGACATTTCACTTTAAAATATTCAAAAGCACTTACATGTACAGACTTTGACTACGTACAGTGCATGTATTAAAATGACTAGTTCACCATGATAAGCCCTTGACTGTCTCTTGTTCTTAGTTTTATTTGAACTGGACTCTCCAGAGGAGGAAGCCCAGGGGAGGCCTGTTTTATGGACTCTGGTTATCTGATCTGACAAAGCTCTAGTCCCATAGCACCAGAGTGCTAATGCAGTGGGATGTCAAAACAAACACACTCAAGTGTTCCAATTAAATCAATATAGCATGAGCACTGATGTAAACAGGAGCCATATACATAGCCTAGACAACATCACTGCATTCACATTGAATCTCTGTTAAATGTTCAAAAAATTCCAGTGAGAAATGCTGATCTAACCTTGCTCTAACCTAAATCTCCCCTAAATGTAATGTAACGGAGAGCAGCCCAGCCCCCCCACAGCTCAAACCGCAGCTCCATCCCCTGTGTCAACTAGCGGCCCTGCGTGCTTTGGGCTTTTGAGTATGGGAAACATGCTGCACCGAAGCAAATGACAAACGCCTGCTTATTGATCGCAGTTTGCACTTAGACCAGCTGATAGAAAGTAATTAATGACTCTATTTTCTTCTGTACCAAAGAGAACAATTGAGGTTTATACGTCAACAACACGCAGCCTTATAGAAGGCCCCCAAGGGACCTGTCTATAAAAAATGCCTGCGCTCAGATATGGAATGACTCAGATAATGTGGAGAGAAAAAAACACAACAAAACAACCACAACTGGAATTAATAGGAAAAGAAAAAATGTCACCTCAGTGTAGCTTAAATACACACTCCCACACACGTAATATCTCCCAGTCTCTTATCAGACCTCTCTGTGAATCTATTTCTCCTGAAAGTCAGTCCATCCTGTAGCCTCAGCCATTGAAAAAAGGTCAAGCTGGCGGGTAGAATGGCAATAAAGCCCCTGAAATGGTACTATCAGTGGAACATGATTGATCAATTGAATTCCATACCACAGAAAAATGTGGGATTAAGTAGAGTATTATACGCACAATGAGTTGAGGCATGATGTTCATTTCAAGTTCATTTCGCCTCTCTCCTGCCACCAGATCAGGCAATCAATAGGGGCCTTGCATATCATATATCACTACGCTCTCACCGAGGAGAGAACATAATCTGCTGCAAATTTAGAATGACAGAATTGTAAGGGAGCAAAAAAGCCCCTCCACCACCAGAGACACGAAAAGCGGGAGGCTGTTGGCGCTACTGCCGAGGTTACACGAACGTTTGCGGGATGTTTGCGGAAGGGCTTCCGGAAAAGCAAAATGAGGCGCTGGGGAAGGAAGGCTACCTGCTTCGGCAGGGTGATGGTGATGAGGTCACGGTCTGAGGGGAAACTGTTCATTTGTTTATAGAGAGGGAGATGGAGGGAAATGCATAAGCTGGCAGTCAAGCTGTGTAATTGTATTCAAGCCGAGACTGGCCTCCCATTTTTCCAGGGGAAAGCAATCTGAAAGTGAAAGCAGCATTACATTCTAAAGGAAATGGTGCCTTTTAAATAATAGCTCTCCATTTTCCACCAGCCCACTGACGGGAAAGAGAACAAGGTGGCTCATGCTAAAACACATGGCGTTCCCAAAAGTATATGTTTGCTCTGAAGGTAATCCATCAATTACTGCAGGCCTATCAGATGATGACGGTGCTGATGCTGATCTGGGATGGGGGAGGTGTTGGTCTCCTCTCTCCCACTTTGCACCGTCCACATCTTTCCCTCTCTCTCTGTCTCTCCCAGCCTCATGTGCTCTATCTTTCCACAGCTATTAGGATCAGTTTGAGGCTAGCACTGACTGAATTTGAGCTGATATACTCCAATTTTTCATCCAGTGGTGCTGAGAGTTGCACTCCAGCACTAGATGTAGCTGTTGTGTGGGGTGCGGGGAGGGAGGGATGGGGTGCCTGTCCTGGGAAGAAACGGGACCATAACGACTGGTACTAGCATGTGGCCTTGTCCCTCTCTCCTCTCATAGATGGTTCAGATGGCTCTGGCCCAAACAGTGATTCTCAGGGTAGTATGGAGAGTTTACGGAAGCACCTGAGGGCCGATGCCTTCACTCAACAGCAGCTGGAGGCTCTGGATCGAGTGTTTGAGCGGCCGTCATACCCCGACGTCTTCCCTACGTCAGAACACATCAAGCCAGAGCAGGTTAGTAATATTGAGGCAAATGGAAGAATACTAACAAACTAATACTTTTAACCAAAAATCTGGAGATTGTTGGACAGTCTGCAGTACTAATTTTAAAACGAAGTGTGAGCGGACAGCAGAGCTCATTCAAACGGACAGATGTTTATTTTTCTTAAGATGAACTAGTGAAATCAAGTCACCATACGATTTAATCCCAGACAAATGTTAACTGATGCATCTTGCCCAAGCATCACTAATATATGCATTAAATAAATTTAAGGTGCATTAAAGCCAGATTAATATAGTTTTTAATAATTGCACATCAACATGAATCCACTGATACAAATACAAAAAATAATTGACAAATCTTCAGTCTGAATGAAGTCGCATGAAAAATTATGCCGTGTAAAACAATAAAAAAACACCACCTTGTATATACAAGCTCTTATTTAAAGCTTTTGGCTTATTACAGGAGATAAGCTTTATTTACTTTCATTATAATATCAAACAACCAGTGACTATTAATTTTTCCCTTGAAACTCCAAGTAGAGGCCCATAAAGCAAAAGCAGTGGCCTAATTGAGTTCATTTTAATTTCTCTCCAATCGCAGAGAATTACACTGGTGATAAATCAAGGGGACAGCACTCACCCCTAGTAGAGGGCCTAATTTGCAGCTAATTACAAGACTGATTTCTACTGGAAGATCAATACCAAAACGAATTGGAAATGACTTGCAATCACAAAGAGAAGCCAAGAAGGTATTAAAAAAGGCAAGGAAAGAGGCTAAAAGCGGGGGAAAAAACAGTCCTGGAACAGTCCAGAAAAATCACTTTTAATTTAATGTAATATTAATCAGACTACATTCCCATTTATTGGTCCGTTTTTGTGCCCCCTTTTTAACTCTTGAAAGAGCGGACCTATTAGCCATGTCTGGTGTGTGAGGCCGGGCATTAAAAAGCCATTTTGGAAATGCTAAACTCAATGGGGCTCACCCCTCCCACACTTCTGCCAGCCATTTGGTCATCCTTTTCAGATGGCTCTTCAGTTACCCCACGCCCAACTTGCCCCTATCTGCATGATAAAATAGCTGTTGTGCATCTGAGGCCAGACCAAATAGAGAGGAACATCCGCTACTGGCCAACTGAACATTTGTAGCAGACAATCAGAGTTTATCTGGAATAGAGACAGACAAGTCTGGGGTCACTGCATTTCCCATTGGGACACCGGCCCTATTGTGGTGCGCAGATGCACGAACACACACACACACGCACGCACGCAGACGTATACGGACATATGTACGCTCGCACTTTAATACGTGAGGAACAATGGTAGCCGGAAATCTATTCTCATTTGTTGCGTTATTTACCAAGAAATCTATTTAAAGAAAGTCGTAGTACCACAAATGCAGCTTAATCCAACATACAAATCCAGAAAATATAAGCGTCAATGTTTTAGCATTTCAAAATAATAATAGAAAGCTGTTTTGGGATTATGTTCGTGTCATCATTTTCTCATCCTAAAGAAAACAATCACAAATGGTCTCGAAACGAGGCCATGTTGGTAATCGAACAAAGCGGCCCCGTCTCCTCCCTTGGCCGGTCAGGGGAATGACTGCAGTCAAGCACAAAGAGACAGCTGACACCCCTTCCTTTCAGTCTGTTCCAAATCCTACTCTCTGTCCCGCTCACATCCTTAATGTATGCACACACAGTTCACATTAACTCCACCAAAACCCACATGCACTGACTGGGGGAAATAAAAATAATGTGCAAGTTTAGTAGAACTGGATTTCAGGTGCCCATTTACAAAGCCACAGTAACTGAGCCGCCACTATATTAAATCCCTGGTGTAAAACATTTTCCTTAAATCATAAGAAATATCATTAAAAAATAAATAAATAAAATAACATAGGACTGGCAGCTCAGAGGCAGAAAGCTTTCTAATTGGACACCTTAAAAGTGATGCTTGGATCCCAAGATATATCTACTTAAAGTGTCCCCCTCCCCTCATTGGCAGGCTAATGAATACACGCTACCAGCACTGAACCCTGGACTGGACGAAATCAAGCCCAATCTGTCAACCAGCATCAGCTCAGATTTGGGCTCCAGCGTGTCACAGAGCTACCCGGTAGTGACAGGTAAGAACGCTGGATCCACCATCCCGGCAGACTATTAGAATACTGGCATGACGTTCATATTCTAGACTATGTGGGAGTTGAGCGGACAGGTGAGAGTGGAATGTGACATGTTGATCTATAGTGGATGGATTAGTGCTGCCTGCTCTGAGGGGCCGTGTAAGAGAGGAACGGTCAAAACAGACAGGCGCTGTTACTTGCAAGAGCCAGCATTCAAAGTGATTATGGAGAATTGTTGGCCAGTGTCACTGTTCAAAAACTGATGAATTGTTTTACTACTTCACCACCAAAGTAGTACCGAAATGTTTTCTTCAGCTCAAAGCTCTCAGAAAGACGGTTTGGCCTTTTAATGTTGCAGTGTTTTTTTGGGGGGGTTTTTTCTCGTGGTATGCTGTGGTTAATGTCAGCCTGGCTAATTGAAATATTGTTTCATTGTTGCGGCTGTTATTACCTCAGAGAAGGTTAAGTTTACTGATAGCCAACTGTCGTGCTGAGATTAATACGCTGAGCTTTTAATAAAATTCACATAATTATGCAGGAGCCATCAAAGCCAATGAGTTCTGTGTGGGCGGAGGACAGGATGATTGAAAATTGCTGTGCCCCCTTCTCAAATGATAGCTGGATAATGTTATGTGAAAAGAAAGGGCTTTTTTCCCCCCTTGGTAATATGTGGGAGGTAGAGTTCCCTCCAGAAAGTTGGGCCTCTGGAGAAGAAAGGTGTGTTTTTGTCCTTTGTATGAAAGCAGTCTCGGTCTAGGGAGCACCCTCATGGCAGGTGGCCTTTCTTGCACCTGGGACGGGACACATCGGGGGTCTTAGTGCAGACCACCTCTTGCTTCTGGTAGAGATTTCCCAAATGGTTGTTTAAGTTTTTATTGTTGTTAATAATTTCACAATGGTGTTGGTTTATGCATGCATGGTGAGAATACTTTCCCCTGGCAACCTAAATTCAGCATTTTCTGAACAAAATAAAAATAAAATACAGTTGTAATTACGTTCTCAAGTTTTTTCAGAATGTCGAGGCTCAAATGACATTCTTTAGAGTCTTATATATTAACTGTTCCATGTCGTATTCTAAATTACTTTTGGCAGTAATAACTTCATTTATTAAAAAAAAAAAAAAAAGCAAGAAAAGCAGTTCAAAGATGCAATAGCGTAATGTTATGATGTACTCGCATGTGATAAACTGGAAATAAGAATAAGGACAGAGTTAAAGTGCTAAATTACCCTACGCATTTACACTGAGAGCCAATTCTGAATAAATTACTCCCTCTCATTGGAGAGAGCTGGAGATTATGCTCATTCCCAGCAATGTTTTCCTGAGCCAATTAAAATTCACGCTGCCATTGATCTTGTTGATTTTATGTTGTGCGATTTGCATAATCTATTAAAGATGAATGATTAATGAACTCTTCATTACAAAACAGAAATTGGAATTTTAAGGGCACTACAAGGCATAGGAGACGTGTTTTTTGTGTTAACTGTTTACCCAATTAGTTTTAGGGGTTACTGCTCTGTACCTAAAGTCCTAAAGGAAAATGCATTTGAAAATAGCTTGTCTATTGGACCAAAATGTATGATGCCGGATGAAATCTAATTAATTAAATAAATAAAAACTTGCAGTAAAGTCCATTCCTTTAAATAATGGAATAGATGCATACTTTAAAATATGAATATTTTTTAGATAAATAAATAATATAAAATCCCAGATAGTACAGTTAATAGAGTCGTTGTAGGATTAATCTGTGCTTCTGTTGTTTTAAAGGCCTTCAGACTTATCGGAGGCAATACTTGCCCTTATGCGTCATGCACATTCCACACTTTCATGTATTAACTGTAGTAGAGGGAAAAAACAGTGGCACGATTTATTCAAACTGCAGTAAAAAGTCTGGATGCTGTCCAGATATGGCTAGCCTTTTAAAAAGGCCGTTTGCACATACCTTCACAATGAATGACTAATGCGGATTCTTAAGCGCCGTCCCTGCCGAGCCATATAATGGAAGTCTTCCTGGTGCCAGTAGGATGGTACCGTGTAAATAGGCACCCCTCCGATCCGTTGAAAACCTGAGCAGGTGCTGAAGGGATCCCCCTTGTTCCAAATCTCTTCGGAGAGATGGGAGGAGAGGAGAAGGGGGAAGAGGGAGGAAAAAATGAGCACCCGAGCCTGAAAGCAACAGAGCTCCATGTCTAAAAAAAACAAGAAAAAAAAACAAGCAAGAAAAGTAAGAAAGAAAAGCAGCATACGCAGGCAGAGTGAAAGAAAAGACTGCTTTGTGTTGGCTTATGCTGCTGATGAACTCCGGCTGAAATATATCCGCCAGAGAGCCATTTTTTAAGTGTGGCCCGCTATTCTCCAGTGAGCAGCAAACAACACGCTGCCGGCTAGACTAAGGTATCTGATGTGTGGCCCAGTGACAAACTGCCTCTGTCTTGAGTCACCAGAAGCCCCGGCAGGCCCTATAGCCCAAATTAATGTTTATTTCACACTCACAATAGCACACTAACCTTTGAGCACATATTTGATAATGAATGACTTTAGGAACTTATATTGGGGATTCAAGCAATTTGGCCGTCCAAACATTACATTGCTGTAATTGATCAGTCTGAAGCAGTCTATTCCATTTTTCCTGTGACAAAATGTTGAGAATTGAGGTCAAAGTGTCTGTGATTATTATTATTATTAAGTTTTTGTTTTTTGATCTCTAAGGCAAGCGACCTTGCTGGAGCTGTTGGGTTTTTTTTTTAAAAGGAAGTCATTCCTCTCTCTCTCTCTCTGCACCCATGTGAAACCGTGCTTTCATGAAAGCGAGAGACAGACATGGAGAACTCTATACCTCTGGTTCGTGTTGAGATGTGATGCGCCTCTCCACATAGACCAGTGTTTATCTTCCATCTCAGTAATCAGGAGGTTGACAGCCTTCCTTTTTGCAGGTCTTGCTTGTTTCCAGGACAATAAGCAACACCACCTCTGATTAGTTTCAGAGTTCAGTGATCTTGAACACTGGGCTTCGGTCAGTGTAGCGGACGCCCTTGTCTGCTTTACAGCGGCAAAGCAGAGGCCGTGAAAACACGAGGCCTCCGACAGCCTCTCTTTCCTTTTCCCCTTTATTGGCCTCTAAGGTTTTTTATTTTTGAAGTTAGGCTTTATTACCGTCATCTTCTTCTCTGAAATATAGTCATCTAACCACCTCGTTTCTGTATGTCTCTCTCAATTAAAAATCGCCATGTTTATCCTGCTCCTGCTGTATGAAGATTCGGCTGTTAGTCCCAGACTTGCTCAGGAAAGGAAATTCTGGCATTGATTTGTGTGGGAAAGAAGCCAGTTAAGTTGCCTGATTTCTTGGCGTTAGGTCAGAACGGGTTGTCAGGATTGCGTCTGACAACAAGGAGGCCTTATCTTAATGAGCGACTCTCCGCACATAGCTCGGTTGTAAAACAACAATAGTTGGGAAACAGCTAATGAGGCTATCATGAAGCTGTGAGAGCCCTCCCCACAGACCATGTTAACAGCAGAGGATGTTAAAGAGGATGAGTGGAGAGAGAGATGAAGACAGAGCTCACGTTGATTGCTCGAGCTGCAGTGGCAAACCCGCTAAGATGAAAAATGCCAAACCTCATCAGCCAAATGATATTACGACTGGCGATGCAAAGGGGCTGTGTGTCGCAGTTTGCAGGCTTTTTGTTTGGAGATGCGACTCTTACCTCCGAACCTTAGGGAAATTTCTCTGTATTTGAGCTTGATTGATCTGCAAGCCAAGCTGCTGTTTGCTGATGCTATTCTAGAAATATTGTTTCAAAGTGATTTACCTGTTTATATTTGCTCATTTTTAGCTCATTTGATGGATAAATCATTTCAAGGGTTTTTATAAAAATGTAGCTTTATTTAGATTTAGATATAAATCTAAAGTTAATAGACGACTGTGAAAGTCTTTATGGAGCAAATAATATTCCATTCTGAGAAAAACTGGATAGAAAAAACAAACAAAAAACAAAACAATGAACCCAAAAGATTTATCTGTTTACAAGAAGAAAAAAATTTTTTTTCACTTTTAATCTGTTCTCTTTGTAAGTGTGAGTGAGCAGGGCTCAAAATAAACACTTGCCAAGTGGGTAAAATGCAAGTAAAATATAGCTGGGCTGTAACTTTCCAAAAAGTAATGCATTTATGAAATTGCAATGTACAGAAAACTGCGATATTACAATGTGAGTGAATCAAATCTACTGAATATAAAATCAGTGACTATTGCACACAAATACTAAAACATACTATTTAATTTATGTTGAATATATAACTATTTAATTTATGTTGAAACGTCTACATTTGTAGAGATATATTCCTGGCACCAAGCCACAAAAAGAAATCACATTCATGTTTTTGTGTGAGGTGATGCTTCCCTGAGAGTTGCTGTGACTACTAATGCTTTCACTGCCAGCTGTAAATATACTTAAAAACAGAAATAAATCATTATTTTGTCATAGAAAGAAAAATAAATATACATAGTTTTACCAAAATATTGCAAAATACATGTTTATAATAAAAAATATAGCCAGCAAAAGTTTTAAAGTATCTTTGATGTAATGATTTGTGGATCAGTTTTCGCACATAAAACCCTCACATAGCTCAAAGTGCACAGTAACATTTCCTGGCTTTTCATGACCAAATCCCCTCGTGCGTGTAGAAATGTTGTTTTCTGAGCGTGTGCCTCTGGAGACTCTGTTAAAACTTCTGAACACACTCGAGCAACTGAGTCAGAACACCACGGCAGCTGTAACTTCACATAAATCCTTCTTTTCCTACTAAACGCAATGTAGCACCACAACAACACCAAACACTGTCAGCCAAACTTAATTTTCCTTTTTCTTTTACTGCTTCCATTCAGTACTTCCATCTGTCATGATTCATCTTTGTTTTTTTTTGTTTTGTTTTTTCATTGTCTGATTGTGTGTGTGTGTGGCTTTTTTGTTGTTTTTCTCCACCTGGCAGAGTCACATTCATCCTCCGTGTGCGTTAAGCAGGAGCCGCATGAGGCTTCCATGGCTCCTTTCACCCCTTCCACACTGGCAATCTCGGGCCTAGCGGAACTGTTGCCCCTCCAGCCCAGCGTGTCAGTAGATGCCTCTACCCCCTGCTACGGCGCCTATGCCCATCATGCACCCAGCTACAGCCAGTATGCAAGCCAGCCTATTATAGCAGGTACAGCCCTACAAAAAAAATAAAATAAAATAAAATAATAATAATAATACAAAGAAAGATTAGAAAACATACCCTGCGCTGGTAAAGGGGGAAACAGCCAAAGTTTTTTTTTTTTTTTGAGGGGGCAACAATGGCAGTCCAAGGTCATTTGCCCTACACAAAATAAGACATTACATCAATACAAAACAATACTTTTATTTAGTAAATATGCATTAAATTGATTAAAAGTGACAGTAAAGTATTTTACATTATTTTACAGTAGAAAAAGATATATCAAATCAATGCTGTTCTATTTAACTTTTTAATCACCAAAGAATCTTGAAAAAAATGTTTCTACGAAATTATTAAGTAGCACTACTGTTTTCAACACTGATATTATAAAATGTTTCTTGAGCAGCAAATCAGCATATTAGAATGATTTCTGAAGGATCATGTGACACTGAAGACTGGAGTGATGGCTGCTGAAAATTTAGCTTTGTCATCAAAGGAATAAATTACATTTTACATTAACAATTTACAAAATAAATTAAAACAGAAAACATTTTTTTTTAATTGTAATAATATTTTACTGTAAAAAAAAAAAAAACCGTACTGACCCAAAACATTTGAAAGGTATGGTGTATATAAAAAATGGTATATATAAAATTGCAACTACATTTTCAAAAGATATAAATAATTTTTAAAATGGCATTTAAAATCTAATTTACTTTAAAATACATTGGGGCACATTCCATGGCGCTTCTGGAGACGGCTGCTGTCCTGTACTGTCCTGAAAAGTACTGTTAATTCTTGTCTAGTCTCTAGTACTTTGATTTTATTTATGTATATTATTGAAAGTCTCTGTATTAGTATTTCTAACATGCTTGTTAATGTGTGTGTGGGATTGCGTGTCTGTCATACTCTGTAACTGCGTTTATATTTTTAGTTAATGACCAAAAACAAGAAAACAACTCAGTTGTAATTTGCCCTTTGTTCCTATTTATTAAACCAAAAGCACAAGATCACACTAAAAAACAGATTTTCAACATTGCTTATCATCCTAGTGCGCCACTTTGCCTGGTGGCTCTCTTATTAGTAACTGGACTGTGGTAGCGCTTCCCCCACCCATCCCTCACTGGTGCCCTTTCAAACAATGATGCGGGACCCCGCGAGGGCCCATTCGGGACTGACGAAGGCCTACGTGCTGTAAAGTTTGCGCCAGCACATCCAGCAGGATTGCTAGCTGTCACCTCCAATTACAGAACTGAATATGGAGGCATTGTGCGCTCTGCACTTCCGTGATGTTCTGGGCTTTTTTAGCAGCAGTGATGCCACCAGCAGGCCGAGGGCATTCTGTGCTTCTCTCTGTCGAGCAGTTTAAAATCTTTCAGTCAAAACAGGCCAGCAGCGCCACTCTGTGTAATAGAGGAAGTTAAAAGGCCGAGTGACCTAGAAAAGAAAAAAAGCAGTTGTTTTTAGCTTCTGCAGGGTCATCGGTTTTTCAAGTTGTGAATTTAAGGAGAGGTGATCATTACTGTATGTTTGGCATGTGGGTTTTCTAGTTATTTGTTTACAATAAAAAAAGCTGAAAAGGGTTACAGGGTTGTGTTTTTAAGGAAAACAAATATGTTTGAGTATTGTTATCATTAATGTGCATGGTGTAACACTAGTTTAATGCATGGGGTGCTTTTCCACTTTATTCTATGCATCATAATTTTTAATGTATCAAAATATGTGTTTTTACTGTATCTTTTAGATATTTTACAGAATATCTAAAAGAAATTATAGAAATACTGAATATATATATAAAATAAAAATCTTAAATTCTGGACGATTTTCCTCTTCAGTTTTACTACTACTACTATTATTATAATTATTATTATAAAGATTTTAGGATAACCATATATCCAGCACCCATTTAATTTTTTTATTTATTTATTTTTGTGCAGCTGCCCTCACAACCTTTGACTTTCTTTACAGGTCGAGACATGGCGAGCACAACCCTACCAGGATACCCACCTCACGTTCCCCCCACTGGGCAGGGCAGCTACCCCACCTCTACACTTGCTGGAATGGTCCCTGGTAAGTGTAATTACTATTTTTATGAGGACGTTAATTTTAAGAGAGCTCGTAATATTTTCAGCGAACAGTCCTCGGCAATTGATCATCTTCAGGAAACCTGAGGTCATGCAAAGCCAACTTGAATTTGCACTGCTGCACCTGGAAAATAAAATAGTCATTTGATAAGAATTTTGCATTAACATTCGATTAGCATTGGCCCCAAAGCTTCCTTTCCTGTTTGAATATATTAGTGCAGAATGCCAGGTAACATTTTAAGAATGAGAGTTGAGAAAGAGAAGTGACACAAGCATATTGCCCATGACATTTCTGGTGATGCTAATGTTTATTAAACGGGATAATATTAATGAGGAGCATAATATTAATGAGAAAAAGATTCATGAGGAGCCGTAATTGCAGGATGGCTGCAAAGACAACAGCGGGCAGCGTGAATCTCGATCTCGACTCGTCAATAACCTGAGAAGTAGCCTCAGTTTATCGGCTGCTGAGGAGAAAATTAGCACCTCTCAATAAGTGATCAGGGACATAAGTGTGGGATATAGGACAATTCCTCTCAGTTCCACTCGGGTTCCAGCATTCATTACGCCCCTCCCTCGCTCTCCCCGACCGTTCGACGCTCTCTCAAGCCATCGATAAACACAGCTTTCTCCACCCTGCCTCCAGTGCTGCAGAGCGTATCTCTTTTCCCCTCTACTTAACCTGCAGTTCAGGTTCACAGCAAACAGTTAAGGGTCACAAAACAGTGGGCAGGAAGGCCTGTAAATATTTAAATCACTATCTCTCAGAGGGACCCGACTTGAGTTTCACTGCCAGGACAGGATGCAATCTGGCAGCAAGACCGGTGCCCTCTCCCCAAACAGCACAAACACACACATACGTATGCAAACAGACAGTCTGAGAGGTGCTGCAGAGAAGTTGGAAAAGTGTAAATGCAATTGTATGTGGAGCCAGGGGATAACATCAGCGCTCACAAAGTCCAAGCACAAACATGCAGTGTGCGAAAATTGGAAAACAAATATTTTACATCAAACACAGAGAGGGATTCTTCTCTCGGTCACCGTTGAGTGCCTTAGATAGATTCAAGTCTGTCTTGGGCTTCCACGGCCCACAAACATGAATAGTTCGCAGGGGCAAATTTAATTCAGTGACAGGATTCATTTGCTGGGCAAACATATCTTTACAGGTACATCAAATATGTTTTCATCAAAGATTCATTTTCATTGGTCACACAGGCTGAGAAATCCTCTTAAATCCTAGAGCCATGGGTTTTGTGTGCACTTCCATTCATCTGGCCCTCGAACGACTAAGATTTAGTGACAGACCCCAAACACTGTTAAAGCAAAAGCCATTCCTCACCAGCTTCATATAAAACCCAGCCTTTATTGTCTCATAAAAGAAAGAAACGTGGGTGACCAACAGCATTGCTCACTGACATGGACAGGGCCGCTTCCTGAAAGTAGAATTCGGCCGTATAAAAAGGGCCGAGTGTGTGCGAGAACGAATCCATTGGGGAGGTTTTTTGAAGCCGGGCTTTGGTGCGGCCAAAGAATAGAGAATCTTAAGAGCGCAACAGCAGAATCAAAGAAAGGAAACTTCAAAACCCAGCTCAGGATTAATGTAACAAATTCAGCCAAAATGGCCGAGCACCAGGGCGTAGGAAAGAGGACAGGGCGTGCCATCTGCTAGCTAGAGCTGTGAAACTATGCCAGTTCCTTTAGTTCTGATGTGCTGAACTAATGCGATGCAATATTTCAAGCATAGCACTAGTTTAATTCAGTACAAGTTAAGCTCAATTGACAGCATTTGTCATTACCTTGCTTTAAAAAATAATTTCTACTTGTCCCTCCTTTGAATTTGAATAAATAATGTTCTGAAGTTGTAAAAAAACAACCATTATTGGAGTAGATTTTACAAGAAAAAAAATATTTCAGTCTTTTCACTTCAAAATTATACATTTAATTTGGGTTCTTTGTGAAAAAGGGGGGAGTGAATTATTTGTGAAATTTACTAGCAATTTTATTAGAAATTGTTTCAAAGTAAATCCTACACCACTTTTTTTCAGTGTGTTAAAGAGACAAAAAAAAAAAGATTATTTGAACAGCTTTACAGCTCAAATACTGCACAGGTTAACAGATTGATTCATTGCAGGGCTTTTATGAAATTGCAAAAAATTTTAAAATCCTTCAAAATTGGCTTCAAAAATATTTACTCAATTTAAGTTCTTCATCATAACCTTGATTGTTGCTTTTTTGTGGTGATCAACTTCATTCCACAAATGCTGACAGTTGAGCTTAATTGATCCTGAACGCATGAATATGCCTTTAAGATACACAATTTGCTTTATTGCTAACCTGTCATTTGTGTTTGATTTCAGGAAGCGACTTTTCAGGAAATCCCTACTCTCACCCACAGTACACAACTTACAATGAAGCTTGGCGGTTCAGCAACCCTGCGTTATTAAGTGAGTATTAACCCTTTTTGCTTATCCCTTATGGGATTAGTCGCTTTAAAGTGGGATTAATATAATCACATTTTACAATGACATTATTTGCATACAGCTTTACTAAACTAGCTACAGTTTTATTTCTCTTTTTGATTAGCGAGGTCATAACACACTGCATCTCTAAATTAAGACGCGCATAAGCCCTTCGCAAGTGCTTTTGTGCGTGCCGAGGTTCCCGACCTAATAGAATAGTCTGACTGTATTTTACATAAGCAAAATTATTAAGAGTGGGCGTAAGTGTTGCTCTTGCTGTGGTTTCAAACACTCCGCTCTTCTGTTAACTTCCAGGTTCCCCTTATTATTATAGTGCCGCATCCCGGGGCTCCGCCCCTCCCACTGCTGCCACTGCCTATGACCGCCACTAGTTACCATGGCAACCCAATCAAACTGCAGGACCATGGCCGCGGCCTCCATATCGTACCAGTCTGAATGCCGTTAAGGTCAGAGGGATTGAAGATGGCTACGCGATCTTCAGTTTCACGGGGCCAAGATCGGATTAGGAGGGTCAAGCAACAGCGGGTTTCCCCCCCCAGACATCGACTATACCCCCCTCACGCAACATCAACACTAAGGCTCTCATTCTCTAAATCACTGAACAATAACTGAACTATTTCCTGAAAAGACTTTGAAAGATTCTACAAAAATATATATATTATACAAAATATAAAACAAGACGAACCGTGTGAAGAAGTACGAAGTAACAATTGATGTGTTGTTGTTTTTTTGTTTTTGTTCTCTCTTTAAATCAATCAATACATTCCTTTACATACTGTATTTAGTATAACTAACAGATCAAACACACACACAAGGTTGCCTGAGGCCTTTAACATAATTTGCCCTCATCCTACACCATTTCACTAGTGTCTTACCTCTCACGGACAGAACAGCGACGTGTCAGCTGAGCAGAAAACTGCAGTATTGCTCCAGTTTCTGTCAAAAAGACAAGTGTAACAGTCTTAGAAGCCATCTCTGACTCGTGGTATAAAATTACCAACATGATTTAACATTTTCTGTGATACACAATCAAAATGGGGGAAAATAAAATAGAAAAAAAGAAGAAAAAACAGGTCAGACACTGAAGAAGTTGTTAACTGTTGCTGTATATGACCTGAAAAGAAAACCGTATATTAAATTATTGTTTTGGTTTAGCTGATGGTTTGTGTGCGTGTGTGCATTTGTGTGTCATACCTTTTCGGGATATTCCATTTTATCATGTGTAAACTCCAATATCATGATCGGTGCCGCTCTTTTCTCGTTTGCACTATTTTGCATTACTGGATTTATAAGTACAATGAATTGCAATTATCTTCTAAAGTTTGTCAGATTACATGTTCTATTTAAGTAAAAAGGTCAACTCGAATTGACAAAGTAACCACAACATTGGACAAGAATACACTTGCTATATGCTAGAAACTAGTATATGCTTTTTTTGTCCTTTAGTGTGGATTCGTTAAAAAACTTCCTCAAAAGAACCATTTTTGTATCGTGTAACTGAGACAGAACGATTCTGACTGGCTCAGTACCAAAGTAATCATTAGCAGTCAATTGTACAACAAATGCCTTACAGCTTTTTTTATTTAAATTTTTTTTTTATGGTTTGGCTATGGTCCTGAGAGGTAGACATGCATGTAACCCTTTTGTGTGGATGAACAAACGTTTCTCCAAATGTCATGTGGGACACTGAGGATAGAAATGGAAACGGTCCATACATACACTCCTGGAAATGTAAAGTGAATGTACTTTATACCACGTTTGCCAAAGACTTAGTTTGATATTTAATATTTTATTTGCTGTATCTGTCAATAAAACAGTATTATGTTTTAATAGTAGTCAATACTGATTGTATGTGGTAATGTTGAACAAAAAGGAAAAGATCCATCTTAGCCCCACAGCAATGTACACAAAAAGGTGAATTCTGTTACTCAGAGGTATGTCATTTGCAACAAACTGCTGCTTTGTAGAATGATTTGTGTATAATGTGAAAACAATTATTCTATGTATATAAGATCACCTACATTTCACCATTGCAGTATCGAACTAATTTACTGATTCCATTTGTAGATATTGAAAGAAAAAAAAAAGATTGACTACATTTGTGTCTTCAATGTGTTGTGCTTTGCAGAGACGCACAACAAAATGTTTGAAACCCGTCCTGCGTCGGTGGCTGGGTTTCAGATGCTATCACCACATGTGCGGCTGTTTGTATGTTTTGTTTTGGTTCACTTTTACTTAACTTGTTCATACTGTTTAAGTCTCTATGCAAATCAAGTAAAATGGTATTCTGTATTCTCCTTTACTACTGTGTTCAATTCTACCCTTCATTTTAAATGATCCCTAAATCGTGTATAGAGGAAAAGCCTGTAAAAATGAACAAATACATTTCACATGCCTGGGTTTTGTGGATTGTTTTTGTACTTTGAACCTCCCTGTACAATTCGATACAAGACTTCAGAATCCTGAAGCTTTTTTTTGCCAATATTAAGTTAAAGTTATTTTACTGCAGGACCAGATTATTCAAAAATCATAGCATGCAAAGGGGAAAAAAAGTCAACAAATATAACTATACATAAATGTACACACAGGACAAGTTCTAATTCACACAATACAAAAAATAAATAAATAAATAAAATAAAAACATATTTGGCTCTTTTCCCGCTTAGAATGAAGAGATTGTTACCCACTCACTGCAACCCCCATTTGTTTGTGGCTTTTGAAAACGTGGTCTTGACAGAATTCATTTTAAAACGAGCCGACAGCAGCAGAGCAGAAACAGAGACAATTCTCCTCTCTGATACTGTATGTATCACAAACATAATTTGTTACGGGCAAAACAGAATTATAAAAATATGTAACAAAAATCAATATGGCCTCAGCCATTACCTTTATTCCACCTGTCTGTCCAGTTCTTTTTTTTTTTGTGCATATGAGAAATAAATTTTTTGTATGTCAGCATGTGACCGTAGTAGTGATTATTAACCCTTTCATGAAAGAGTCATTCAGAGTTCAAGGATACGCTGAGCTGTAAGACATTCGGTTTGTATTAACACTAGTTATGAACGCATCACATTTGTTAATGTAGAGCAAATAAAATTACACATTGACTGAGTGTTTCAATGAAGTCTAGACGACAGGGAATCTATTGAAAAATAACACTGTACAATAACTAATAACAATAACAAAGTACAATATCAATTGTAATATAAAATACATTATTTATACATTATTTACATATATTTTTATTCATATTATATACACAATATTATTTTACAAAATTGTGTATAGAAAATTTAAATTCTATTACAACTGATATTATATATAATAAAACATGTATAAAATAAACAATATACACAAATATATGTATATATTGCTTTTATATTTTATTAATATTTAATATAAAGTAAATTGTAAATACATATTTTTCTCGTACGTTTGACAATTTGTAATCTAAATCATTTGATAAACTCATATTTTTAAACATGCATCACTGATTTTAAACAATTCATGTATACACAATTTATTCTATAGTAAAAAATATACAATAAAATTATTAGTGTAAAAACAACATACATATGCATTTATATACATATAACACATATATACACACTGATTTTAATCCCAATGCAAAAAAGACACAAGAGGATGTTTAATGCAGAAAGAAACCGTGGGAAGCAAACCTAGAAGTTCAATCGAGGAAGAACGAGAGGAAAGAGAGTCTTGGCGAGAGTGAAATCGTAAGCAAGGAATGGGAAAAGCGGATGAACGGAAGCAGAGAGAAGGAGTCACAGTGAGGGTGTAAAACAGAGTGTGGACTATTTAATGATGCATTGGGTTCCCTCCGCAGCTGACTGCTGCCTGCAGCAGCTCTCCTCCTGCCCGAGCAGACAATCCTACCCTGCTGTAATTCAATTTTTCTGCCTATTGTTTATTTCATAGCTCCCCTGTGAAGCATCAAAAGCTGCTGTTCTGTCAGCCTCTTACTGTCGTATATGTTTGTCATTCAGCCCTTGTTAAAATAACGAAAAAAGGCCTGCCTCTGTTCTTCCCCCAGCTGAGAATTCCCAGTGGTAAAATTATTCCATTTAGATGGAAACTTTTTTGTCACTCCCGTCTAAATTGGCATATCTGCTTCTTTTGCTGGAACCAATAAACTGTGAACCCGGATGCATCTGTCAATCAGGCTCATCTTTACTTTAGCATGCCAGATGACAACAGGGGAGATGGGAAAAAAGCAGCAGAATGGAATCAGCTGATTGGCTCTCATCAGCAAGGCATTACAAAAAGCACCTGTCATCCTCTCGGCTCCTCAAACACTACGAGGGGCCCAAGCTCAGTACTGCTGGAGACAACTATACAAACAATTGCATGACGGTTTAGTCTCATTCTTAACTGAAATTTTGTAAAGTGAACTTTAAATTCCAGTTCATAGTTTTTCAATGTTTATATGTTTACACTTTATATAAAGGCATTATAATGATACTGTGCATAGAATGCACTTTTTTGGGAACTTGTGAAATTAATAAAATCAAATTATCATTAAATAAAAAGTTAAAGCCTTTAACAAATTCTCACAGTATTATACACTTTAATTAGTAAAATGCAACACTCAGTCCTAAATAATAAGCTTATTGTTAACTTACTCCATGTATGCTACAGAAACGCACATGTAAGCGCTATTATCTGACAATCCACAACGGCACTATGACTGTATTACTCTGGTTTTACAAGAATAACCTGATCACTGACATTGGAACATACACGTTACCAGGCCAGCGTGACATCGCCTGCATCTCATCAAGCATTAGTCACATTAGTAATCGCACGGAAAATGTGTCCATTTAGTTCTATGTAAATTTCCTACAAACAATAAAGATTTGTAGACACATTATTCATAAGAAATGGAAAAATGTCTGGTGTTTTCTGAGGCTTGAATGGGGAGAAAACGGCATCATCTGTCATGGGGTGTCACACTGGAGAGAGAAGGAGCACCAGAGGAGTTGCACTGGACAGCACTCACTGTTAAGTCCTGTCAGCCGACTATGTGCTCGTCATCATCACTGCTGTCATATTTGATGCTGGGGAGGGGAAAGGCCAACCTGGGGCTGTCAATCAAATCCACCTCATTAGGGACACCGCTAATTATGAAATTTTCTATGATGTCTGGGAATGGAGTCTTTCTTAGGTACTGTATGTCATCAAGACAGTGTAGTTTGTGAGATGACAAGAACTGATTTTCCACGCTGCTTAAGAACAGGGTGTGCAAATTAAAACATCTATGAGAACAACACAGGCCCACAAAGAATCTGAACAAGCAAAAACCTTCAGCTTCCAGTAATTGCTCCAGATTTCAATTTCACCTTCTGGAAAAAATGTGGATAAACCAGTTTGCTAATCTTTGGCCATTAAAAATAAAAAATAAAAAACTTGCACACAAATTACACTATTGGGACTTACATTTGCTCTGCATGTTTTTAAGTTTTATTTTTATTTTTTACATGCCCTGTTCCTATCTGAAACATCTGTGAGTGTAATCATCTGAACAGCTGTGAATCTTGTCAAGAGATCCTTGTACCATATCTGTATAATTGGGGGAAAAAAATGCAAAAATGCGTTAAATGTTTAACTCCATTCCACAATTTTTTATTTACCCCTTAAGTCAGTAAAAAAGTCTGAATAAAGTCAGGTCAAATTTATATGTATAGCGGTTTTCACAAAACACACTGTTTCAAAGCAGCTTTGCAGAAAATCATGATGCTAGTGTTTATGATATCTTAATATCTTCATGTATTATAATCGCATTTATCAGATTAGAGCTGGGCAATAATAGCTTATAGTTTGCACCTTGCAACAATACAAGCAATTAAGTAATTGAGATATACGAGATATTGCCCCATACAAGTATACTGTATGTACAGGTGCATCTCAATAAATTAGAATGTCGTGGAAAGTTCATTTATTTCAGTAATTCAACTCAAATTGTGAAACTCGTGTATTAAATAAATTCAGTGCACACAGACTGAAGTAGTTTAAGTCTTTGGTTCTTTTAATTGTGATGATTTTGGCTCACATTTAACAAAAGCCCACCAATTCACTATCTCAACAAATTAGAATACTTCATAAGAACTTCATACTTCAATAAAAAAAACATTTTTAGTGAATAGTTGGCCTTCTGGAAAGTATGTTCATTTACTGTACACGTACTCAATACTTGGTAGGGGCTCCTTTTGCTTTAATTACTGCCTCAATTCGGCGTGGCATGGAGGTGATCAGTTTGTGACACTGCTGTGTGCATTGAATTTATTTAATACACGAGTTTCACAATTTGAGTTGAATTACTGAAATAAATGAACTTTTCCACAACATTCTAATTTATTGAGATGCACCTGTATGTGGATAAAGTTGGACATACTTATATATATACTTTATATAAAGAGCTAGTCAATAATAGTTACATTGTGACAAAATAAAAATAAAAAATCAAGTTGTTGAGATTTGCTATATAGTATATATTGCTTTACGTGATTGTACTGATTGTACTGTATATATCCAACTTTTTAAATAGAGCTGTACGATAATACAGTTTACGAGATTTACTATATAGCATATACTGCTTTAAATGAGTATATTCTACGTATTCCATCTCAAATATACATACTAAATATAAAGTTTCTAAACAGTGTGATAACCGTGTGTTTCAATTTGTATTTAACAATTTCTTTATTGAAAGTGGCAGTGACGGGAATGAAAAAGCACTTTTCCTAGCATCATGGCAGTGGCTGTAACGCTCAGGCGCTGTCTTGATGGCTGCGCTGTGATTATGAGGTCATTTTTACTCAAGCTGTGTGAGCCCATCCAAGAGACGCTTACATAAGTTGGTGAGCGTCCTAATGAGCAAGCACTGATTGATTTTGCTTTGTAAAAAGCGCTGTGTGGTGGCGCTGAGAGCTACCAGGTTCGGCCTTTGCACCAAACAACGAGGTGGTTTTATTAGTTGTATTATTAGCACAGGAATCTTACAGAAGCTCGTCTGATCGGAGACCCTCTGCATCCAAATCTGGCCACTTCCAACTGCAGCCAAATCTCATTTTCTTTCAGTGGCTAAATGATCGCTTCTAATGGCCATTGTGTGAGACATTAAGTAATTAAGCGCTAATGCAATCTGCTTCTCTGTGAGATTATGTCACCTAGCCCGTAAGGAAATTAGAAATCAGACCGCCTCGAGTGGAGAGATTTCCTCTGACCTGACCATCCAATCAAGTGAAGATCTTCTGAAAGCCTTACCTAAGGGA